TAATTAGGCTAATTCAGTTGTCTTAAACCTTCCAATCCTCAACTAGGGACGCCAGCAGTAATTTAAACAATAGGCCAGTGTCCCACAGCTGGGCCCTAAAGTTGCCCAGTCTGACCTGAGGCTCTGCAAACAGGAAATGGCAGGATTGGTCAAAGTCAACTGCAATTTTAAATTCCTTGTGGGGTAAACAGTGGCTTTGGTACTATCACAAACCATCAAGCAAACCAACAGTGCAGATCCAGACGTACTATTGAATATGTTAACACAAACTAATATAAACAAAAATTATAGAACTGAACCATCAGCATCTATTGTAAACTTAATGTTTCAGCCTTGCCTCAGAGTCCTGCTGCCTCACTGGCCTAAGCAAAAAAAAAAAAAAGAAAGAAAGAAAGAAAGAAAAAAGCCTTTAGAAACAATACTTGCTCTACCTGCTTCCACAGAGCAGAGCCAGCTACACTTTTAATTCCGGCGCAGGATGGTTTTATTTCAGATTTCGTTGGCTTTCGATATCCGGCAGTGTACGCAGCAGGAAGCTCCCAAGGCCAAGGTCAATTAAAAGTCATCCATAGAAGAGAGATCAGCAATGGTGAACACATTGGTTAAAACGGCAATAACTTCGTAAGAAAATCTCTGTGCTGGACAGTGAAGCCAAGGTGATGCGCAGATCATGGACCGAGGACTGTCAGGAGAATCTTAAGCTCTGCTATCATCAAGCTTCCTTAACCACACACCAGAACACCCGGATGCCTCTACTTGATTGCTTCCTACTGCCAAAAGGCAAGATGAAGCCAAGACTCCTTCCTTTGCTGGCTTGGTAGTGGAATTTGTATTTCAGTCAAGTTCTAGAGGAGGGGAAACACCGAGCCTGACTTTATTCAGTCCTGTCAGCTGTAAATACTTTTTAAAAGAAGACATCCTCATAAAAGATCCAACTTGCACGTGAGATTAATACTAGATAAACCAATCAGGCTAATTTGATCTCACATTCAACCCGGGTCCCTACATAGTTTCGGATCTAGAACCATTGTTAGAAAACCTGGATTTCAGAATTTCAGTCCCACCAAATTATTTTGGAGCAGCAATTTTTTTAAATTTTTTTTTTTCAACGTTTATTTATTTTTGGGACAGAGAGAGACAGAGCATGAACGGGGGAGGGGCAGAGAGAGAGGGAGACACGGAATCGGAAACAGGCTCCAGGCTCTGAGCCATCAGCCCAGAGCCTGACGCGGGGCTCGAACTCACGGACTGTGAGATCGTGACCTGGCTGAAGTCGGACGCTTAACCGACTGCGCCACCCAGGCGCCCCTGGAGCAGCAATTTCATTTTCCCTTTCTCTGTGACAGAAAAGGTAACTTTGTAGCGCACATTCCCAGTGCCATAGGCCATAAAGATGTGCTAAGCATACAATGGCCAAACACCAAATGGCCATGTTAAAATCAAATTGAGCTGAGTTGGAATGAGTTCTGGAATAGAACACTGTATCTGAAAATAAGTACTTAAAAACTCAACTATTAAAAATTATTTAAAATTGGTAGTCAAGGGGTGCCTGGGTGGCTCAGCCAGTTAAGCGCCAACTCTTGATTTCAGCTCAGGTCACGATCTAATGGTTCATGAGTTCGAGCCCTGTGCTGACAGCGTGGAGCCTGCTTGGGTTTCCCTCTCTCCCTTTTTCTTTCCCCCACTCATGCTTGCTCTCAAAATAAATACTTAAAAAAAAAAAAAGGCTTTAAAACCCGTAGTCAAAACTTCCAAATGACATTGAAAAGCAGAAACGATTATTCCTGAGCACCGTCAGTTGGTAGAATGCCTCTGTGGTGGTGACACTGTCCATTTACTGCACTAACTTGAAGCTCAAGACCGTGGAGGAGCAAAGTACTTGGCTGGCTCTGCCAGTGGAGGACACCCAGATGATGCTGTCACCAAATGAGTAAACTAGCCTCCTCTCGTGATGACTGGGGTAATCACCTCTCTCCTCTTCAACCCCCGGGTGAGGAGTCTACGATGGCGCAGCTCCGTTGAAGCCGTCCACATCGCTTTCGCACTGCCTGAGGCAATGCTCCCCAATACCTTCTGAAACCGATGTGAGACTGCTTGCGCCTAGGTCTGGTCTTTTCGACATCTCTGCATGCATTTGTGGCTTCCACAAGTACTTGAGAAAAACTTACCCTTGACCCTTAACGTAGACGTGACAGTTGGCTTTCAAAGAGACGAAACTGACCATCTAGCCTCACTTCAGTGAACGTCGCAAGCATTATCAATTTCGGCATCTTCCCAGGGCAAGAATGGTATGGTGTCGCGGGAGTTCAGGAATGCCAGAGATGACAGGTGGGTTCCAAAGGTTAAGACCAGGGCTAAACAGCAGTGTCCTCCGGACACACACCAAGGCTGGGGGCTAATTTCAGTGCATCTAATGATACACAACAGAACCGGAACGTCTCTGTCCACCTCACCCTGTCTCCACTAGCAACTGATGGCTCTGCTGCCGCCAACCACAAGGACGTACCTAGGCCGAAAGGCCTCCTCCCCAGCTCCATTCTACCTTGTCTCCCCAAACTCCTAGGAGGCTTTTTTGTTTTAAAAGATTTTAAGTAATCTCTACACCCAGCACGGGACTTGAACTCACAACCCTGAGATCAAGAGTTGTATGTTCTACCAACTGAGCCAGCCTGGCACCCCAAGGAGGTTTTTTTGAAAAAAAAAAAAAAAAAAAAAAAAACACATCGGTTTATTTGGAACAAATGCTTTGTACGAGTAGAGCTGAGATGAGCTCAGTGGCGATCCCATTTTCCCTTTTAATAAATAACAAGGGTGTAGTCCCATTTTGGCTCTAGAAGCATAGGCAGAAAACCTGTTAAGAAAGCAGATAACGGGTGCCTGGGTGGTTCAGTCAGTTAAGCGTCAGACTCTTGATTTTGGCTCAGGTCATGATTTCACAGTTCATGGGATTGAGCCCTGCGTCTACCTCTGTGCTGACAGTGGGGAGCCTGCTTGGGATTCTCTCACTCTCTCTGCCCCTCCCCTGCTTGTTCTCTCTCAAAATAAATAAACTAAAAAAAAAAAAAAAAAAAAAAAAAAAAAAAAAAAAAAAAAAAAAAAAAAAAAAAATGGATAACGTTTTAATTCAGTGATCAAACACGAGGCCAATTCCTGTAAACTTTGGAGTTGAGCTAAGGTCACATAAATCTACAAAATACATGAGCCAAGAACTAAACCTAACTCAAAAACCCACGTTTCCAAACTTATCCTAGTTTGGAAGTGCTAGCAGGTTAGAGAGCTAAATAAACCATTTGAGCAATATGAAGACAGAATGATGTGACACTCTTTACACAGTATCTGTAGCAATTGTAAATGTTCAATAAATATTTACTATATAAATGATAAGACCACTCAAAGATTCAGGCCAGGCAGGCATGAGATTTTTAAGTTTACAGTGTTCAAGAAATAAAACCAACTGTGGAAGTTGCTTCCTTATAGGCTGAACTTACAAGGTTATGAAAGGCAAGGAGGGTTTTTGGTAGTACTTAATCAAGACAGAAATCAACGATTATAAATCTATAGTTTTATTAAGACAAAAACTGACAATGTGATATGAAGTTTACATTTAAACAAAGTTTTCACAGAAACCTAACACATGCCTAAAAAGATTTTACAATGGAGTTCTAGATACAGGTCTAGACGATGTCAAGAACTGATGTATCTCTTGATTCAAGACAGCATTTTGGGTATTAGTTAATTCTTAGGATTAAAAAAACTTTTTGTTTTGTGTTTTAAAGTGAACCACTGCCCCAGTATGAAAGTTTAATCTTCTCCTGAGACCAGGGCTTTTGAAATCACTCAACTCTGTAAGTGATTCAGTGAACTTGTGCTGTCAGTGACTGAACCCTGCCACCAATGATTTCAGAGTTCAAAGTTCA